AAAAAAAAAAAAAAAAAAAAAAAAATCAACAACGACAAAGGAAAGGAAAAAAAAAAGGAAAAATATAGAAAAGTATCGCCAGCTGGATGAAACGTACACAATGGTGCGCGATGAATCTCCTTTTCTCGTTAAAATGTATCGTAGACCACTATCGATTCGCCTGCTCGTATGCCAAAGCCATGAAACTTTCATAGGAGAAATTTTACGGTAGGTTTGTCGCAGCATTTGGCGAAAACAGTTGGGGAAATAGAGCACGTTATCGATATCAGACGCTTTTGTTTCTCGATTGTTCCCCGACAAGGACCGTTAAATAAATGGCCGAAACTCAAGCCGCCGATAACTCGTCCTATCGATAGCCTCGCCGATTATCGTGCGATCCGACGTTACGCGTGCAACGTTACGAAGTCTTCTAACTCGTTCCACATTCGTGGAATGTAAGAATCACAGCAGACGCAGGCAATTTTCTTGCTTATTCAACTTTGTCATCGTCATGGTTCCTTTCTATCGCGATTTTCGATCTGTGCAATTACGTTCTTATGAATTTAATCCTTGCGCGGATAGGATTCCGTGGTTACTTGACAAAGTGTACGAGTAGCTTCGAAGCTCGGATATTTGAAACTTTTGAATTTAAATTTTGACGTCAAAATGTCCGAAGAACAGGTATATAGAGCAGTTTCGCCGTATTTCTACACGTTTCGCGATATAAATAAAAAAAAACATTTTGGAAAAGAGCCATACTAAAAATGTAAGACAAACTAGTAGCAACAAATAAAAAGGAAAAAATCGTCGTGAGGTATAAAACTTTAGCAAACAAAATCACCAGACGGTTCTTTATTTACTATCTAATCTGGCCTCGGATGGCATTGCCAATTTATTAAAAATCCGAATTGGGAACGTGTAGTTCTTTATCAGATAAAGATCGATGCTATCGAGAGGATTTCACTGGGTCTGTTATTTGATCGATTAAACTTACCGACAATCTCTACGTTCCTAACAAATTCTCAATGTCGCGAGACATTTAAATTTCCTAGGAACGTCGCTGCCTTAAAAAGAGCTTTCCGCTTTAAAAAATTCAACGTAACAGTCTATTTATATTTTATCGTTACCTGGTAATCTACGGATAGATGGATAGATTCTTTTCGCTCTTAAATATTATTACACCTCGAATGTCGGCACATTCGTATTTTTAACTTTCACACAGATACGTAAAAATCCATAGTCGATTCGTGAAAATTACGTAGTTAATTGAATAGGTTTCTAAATATAGAGAGAGAGGGAGAGAGAGAGAGAACGGACAATTTATCGATGCATAGTTCGATCGATTCCATGAATCATCATATGAAATATGAAAATTGCTAGGGTTTAGGATGAAAATAGTCATTGGAATCGGCACCACCTTCCGTTAAAATGTCACGACTTCCCGAGAGATGACAAATCTTGCAAAATCTCGTAGGTGAGCCATCTGATTTGTTGGAGGTTTATTAGAAATTTATTCGAATTGGAGGCAACGTCGACGCGTCTGTTCTTCTTGCCGGTCACATTATATTCATACGTTTTATTGGCGTCTATTATTACTCAAAAGTGGTCGATGAGTAAGTCTGGAAAATCTATTTTCGTTGTTGTCACGGGAAACATAATTTTGTTTGTTTCTACAGGTTTCTCTTCTGTGTTGTTTAAATATTCTTCTTGTCGTTATTGCCGAATCCTATAAAAACATGGAAAAGGTATTTTCAACGATTTCATCGATCGGATCGCCCGCTCTAAGGATTTACCAAATATTTCTACTCGAGCATACGTCAAATTCATCGAATACGGATTACGAGAGGAAAGCAGATCTTTCTCTTCGCAACGTCTCTCGCCGAGACGAATGAAAACATGGAAAAGAACACGATCGCGTTTAAATCATTTGGAAACGTCTCGAAATCTAAACGGCGGCATCGTGCGGTGTCCAATTGCGCGTGGTCGGGTCATCGTCGGGAAAAGTGAGCGTTTTGCAAACGCGGCGACGAGGAAGCAAGAATTCCGTGGCTGCTGCGTCACTGAGAAATCGGAACGATCCGTAGAGGATTTTAAATATCACACGAGGCAAATAGGAAACGAGACGATGGCCGCAGTCGCTCTACGAATTCCTGCTTTTCGAGAATACGAAAGCGTAACTGGGCTTCTCGAGCAAACAAGCGATAGCCTGAACAAGCCTAAATAGATAACGTCTGATACGGCCAGCGTATTATTTAATTTCCAGCCACTCTCGAGTCGCTCGATGCTTCGTGGTTGCTCTTAGACAGATCTCGAAGGATTTCTTTGTTTTCTCTCCGTAATTTCGTTTCTTTTATTGACTTTTCGTTTTATCAGCTTTTAATTGAAGTTGCGACCTGCTCGAGCACCTGATACCGGTATAAATATCGCCGTAATTTCACTTTCGAGCAACGTACGACACCGCGCGAGAAGCAGTCGGGGTGACAAAGGCCGTGCTTCGAGAAAACAGTGGACACAGCTCGTAGAAGAGTCTGCAGCCTGCTAATCGTACTAATTAACGCGACTGCGAAATGCGTATACACATTTTCGCATTAGTTGCGATTATCTAAATGACGAATATCGCACGCAATGTAGCTGCATTCCTCGTCTATAAATGACATTGTTGCACCAGTAGAAGATTAGTAACCTAGATCCAGCACTGCACTAAAATTGGTACACGATATCTCATTATCATACTGCACACAATAAATATCTGTCGAGCCATGAAACGATTTCTGCGAACATCTCGTTTCAACGGCGATCGATATTGACATAAGCAAACTATTAATAAATCAATTAGGATTCTTTGGGTTCAAAGAGTAGCGATTATAACCGCGTTGTTGGCAACAAATTTTCTACGTTTCGTCGTAATTTGCTGCAGCGTCCGACCAAGCACTGGTATTCGTTCGAGAAAGTTTCGTTACTTCGATAGCGACGAAATGGTTAAATTTGATAAAATTTCAAACAAGAACAGGCATATCCTGATTTGCGTATCAAGCGCGACGATCACGCGAACGAAAGAAATCTGCCAAATATAAAAAAGAAAAAAAAACGCACAGGCAAAAAGCGGAAAGCACGCAGGGGTAGATAATCGCCGCGCGAAACAGTGGAAACGTTGAAAGGGTAATTGCCGTTTTCAGGACGATTTCGTCGCCCCTGAGGGCAATAAACTCGATGCAGTTGATTGTATGTTGTGCCTCGTGCTCGTCGAGTTGTGTAATAAAACAGAAATAGGAGAGAAAAAAGAAACAGGAACGATTAAAAACGGGCGGCGGGAAAGAAAAGGAAGGGGAGAGAGATAGACCGCTGACTAATCATTGGAAAACAAACAGAAAGGTGTTAGCCGAGGGCGTGGTGCACCTGCAACATGTCGGAATGCACATGCACTGGCACGCGTGCAACAGGCACGAAAAAGTCTATCGATCGGACCGGCGGACACCGGCTGAAATTACGAAATACAGTGCCAAGCCCGGAAACGGGGCAGAGT